GGACCCCACTGGTCACAGGGCACCATGATGAGTGACTGCCATCAATTACAACCCTCTGGGTCTGACCATGGAGCCAATTTCCCAGCCAGCAGATCATGGTGGACCCAAAGCCACAATTGGCCAGTTTCGCCAAGAGGTAATCATGGGATACCAGATCGAAGGATTTTTTGAAGTCAAGATATATGACATCAATCTCTTCTCCCTTGTCCAGGTGATAGGTCACCTGGTTGTAGAAGGAAATGACATTGGTCAGGCAAGGCCTACCTGCAACAAACCCGTGCTGGCTATCCTTCAGGATGTTGGCGTCAGCCAGTCCATTAAGGATGGCCTCTTTTAATAAACTTTTCTAAGACCTTCCCCAGGATAGAGGTCAGGCTGATGGGCCTATAGTTTGCCAGATCCACTTTCCTCCCTTTCTTGAAGATAGGCACCACATTGGCCTTCTTCCAGTCTTTGGGCACTTCACCAGAGCGCCAGGACTTCTCAAAGATCCGTGCCAGAGGCTGGGCTATATTGTTTGCATAGGTCCTTCTTAAAAGTTTCTACAGATTTGTTTAGCAAGGTGATATATCTTGTTGCCAATGTTTTCAGCTCCTCATGCCCAAAAGAGAAATCATTTCTGTTTGATGAAGAGGAAAAAGAATCCATATCGAAAACTGACCATTCTTTCAGCTTACCTTCTGGAAATCTGTTATCCACGTGGTCACATGTATGCTCAATGAATTGAACAACTGATGTAGTGTCAACAGGCAATTCAAATGATGACAGCAAGATTTGAATGTCTTCAGAAAAATGTACAGTCTCACCAAGATACTGCGAACGAAGTTTGGCAATTCTAGCTTTGGCAAACTGAAATGCTTCTACTGTTGTTAGTAAACTTCATTGAAGCATTCTGCACAGCTCAGCCAGCTCACCCAAGACATCATTTAGTATAGCCAGTGGAACATGATACTCTGGTTTCCGCAGTTTGTCCAAGCAGTATTTGTGAATTGGGTCAGTGTCTTCAGCCACTTGTTGTGCACAGCAGTCCTTCAACAAGAACTGCCACCTCCCTGCTGGGCCCCCTTCGAGCCCCGGGGGAGGCTCACCTGGGCCTAGAGTGAGTGAGGATTTAATTAGGGAGCTTCTGGAGGGGCTGGACGTTTTTAAGTCAGCCAGCTCGGAAGATCTTCACCCTAAAGTCCTAAAGGAACTCGCTGGGGTCATTGCAAG